GAATGTTTAGTTTACTCATTCAAATATGTCTCTTTATATACGCCCTTGCGTTCCGTTTCTATTATTGGCTTTAGTCTTTCTCAAAAAAAAAAAACAAAAAAAAAACACACACGCACACAAAAAAAACAACAAAAGAAAACAAACAACAAAAGAAAACAAACAACGCAACTAGATTTGCTGCATCAGCGAAAAACGTTAACTATTTTTGAATTTGTTTTATTATATGAGAGGGATATACGTGGTAGTATTGAGTTTAAAATTAGCGTAAGGGAGATCTCAACTCAGCATTCTGCCATGTGCGGGCTAGCAACGCTAAAGGATCTCAGAATGCCTGACATCTCTTGAAAAACGTTTAAGCCATATTTCAAAATTTGAAAAAAGTCAATAATCCATCGATTTCAGAATTCAACGCCCACGTTATATACTGACTAATTACTCGCGTTCTGTAACAGTATTCACAGACGCACACACGCACGCATATATGTGTGTGTGTTTGCACACCTAAAAACTACTCTCTCTCTCTCTCTCTATATATATATATATATATATATATATTTATTTATTTATAAAATTGATGGATTTATTTATTTTTTAATCTGACGGATTTTACTAAACATTATTTTTAGCGGATACTTATATTTGAGTAAACGCCCAGTTTATTTATTAATCAAAATATTTATTTTCGTTTGTCGTCCTGAATATTCGTGAACTCTTATTAAAGAAAAATATGCGATCTTCGACGGGATTCGAACCTGCGTCAACCTTGGCCACGGGAACCGTAGTCAGATCAAGCAAAGTGGAATAATGCTTTCGAAACACAAGTCTTTAATATGTTTTTAGTTTCATATCCTAACGTAATCAAAGTAATGCCATGCATGTTTCATTAAAAACGACAGACAACGTACTACGATTAAGCTTTTTATTTAATTTTTCTTGTGATCGAAAAATTGGTTTCTTTTCTGGAGACAGTGTGTGTAAAAACTGTCCAGATGTACTATAATTTCGAGCGCTTTCGGCTATACTTTTAGCCATCATCAAGCATGGTTTTCTTTATTCAGTTAAATTGAGAGTGTGCGTTGTATGTTTTTAGTGTTATAGAAATGTTTTATTTTCTGAACACAGCACATTGTGGCCGTGTTCGTAGTAGAAAACACAAGCATAATAACGTCATCGATATGTAAAAAAAAGTTAAAAATAATGGAAGCCCTAATAATAAAAATAAAAAGCTAACACTTAATATTAAATGTTGGCTTTTTTTTTATTATTAGGGCTTCCATTATTTTAAATTTTTTTTAGATGTGGATGAGGTTATTTGTGTTTTCTACAATTATGTAGTATGCATAAATAAAGGATTGCTGCTTATATATATATATATTATATATATATATACACTACAGTCTAATTCACGACGTAGTTTCGTGCCATTCAATCTTGGTATTGCCTTGTTATCAAGATTGCGTCATTTGCATATCTCCTGTTGTTAAGATTGTGTCCTCAGTAATAATTTCGAATCATCTCAGGCTCGCCTCACTATACCCGTTGAATAAGTCCGCTGAGAAGAAGAATCCGCTTTCTGTTTATGCGTATTTACTGAATTCATTTCTATTCGTATGCAGACCGTTTCGAAAATGAAATTAAAGAAGCGGGCGTATCAAACTGTTTTCTTTTTTAATGTATATTTTCCCATTATAGACATGTTAAGTTTATTTTTTTAAAGTTAATATCTATTTAAATTCATTTCTTTTTAATCATTTTCAGCAAAGAGTTGGAAGATTTCGATCGGTTTACGGCATAATAAATATACATGGCGTATCAAACTTTGGGTACGGGTTCCTCACGCCACTAAAACGAAAAAAGTACACATAAACATATGTCCGCAAATCTTTTTTTTTTTTTTGAGTTTTTTATCTAAGAATAAATTTTCAATGCCGACACTTGAGTTTGAACATAGATCGCCAGTGAGAAAACACAGGCGATCCCATTATTGAATCAAGTAGACCATGTGACCATAGAAGCAACGCATATATGGGAGATAGCCTGTGTCTAATTGATCGCATATCCTCTATACTATACGGATCGCCATTGCTAGTCTATCCTCTATACTATACGGATCGACATTGCTAGTCTATCCTCTATACTATACGGATCGCCATTGCTAGTCTATCCTCTATACTATACGGATCGCCATTGCTAGTCTATCCTCTATACTATACGGATCGCCATTGCTAGTCTATCCTCTATACTATACGGATCGCCATTGCTAGTCTATCCTCTATACTATACGAATCTCTATTACTATTCTATTCACTATACTATTTCTCTACGCGGATCGCTATACTGATTACTATTCCAGCGAGTATTACCGGCCAAGTACTATTAGTGCGCCTGCTATTCGAAGGTGTCTGACACCAGTATTGTTCGACGGCGTACTATAGTTGTATCTGCGATTACAAAGACTCTACTACAGCGTGCATTTCGAAAGTGACAACGAATCTTGTTTGACATCACAAAAGTGGGAACTGGGAACACGTGTTCATTGACATCACAAATGTTATTAAGTATAAAGAAGAAGTTTACAGTACATGGCGCTGTGTTTCAGTATCGATTAGGTTTCATTTTATAATTCGGGTACATTTGTGTCCAGACTGTCTTCAACGTTTAACGTGTGTAGTAGCGAGTTAACTGATAACTGTTCTGTTAAACAATAGCAAGATATTCATATCAGGAGCAAGCTGACATGATTTTTACCTACCGCCGAGTGAATGGTAATTGACTACATGGCTGTATCAGATTTCGTTTTCAGACCGAAGACTGCCGAGTCAGTCAATATTTGCTTCTGTTTATCGTCGTGTTGACTTTATAGGATCCGTGGCACCGCAAACTATGGATCATGGAAAACGAAGATCTGCTTGGACGCCTGACAAAGAACACATTATACAGACTGTCGGGGCCGATCTAGGTATCAACACACGTCAAGTGGTCCTAATATGTCGATATGGTTGGGTTCTTCAAGAACAGTGAGTTAACTGATAAGTATTTCTTATGGCTGGATATTCATATTGTGGACAGGCGGAAATGATTTTTACGTACGGCCGCCCGAATGGTAATAGACGCGAAACTAGACCGCTGTATCAGATTGCGTTGGCAGACCAAAAGCAACCGATTCATCCAACCTCTGCTGTTATTTATCATCGCGGTGCTGAGACAGGATCCATTTCACCACACTCATTGGATTGAGAAAGACCAAAATACGCTCGTACGCCTGAGCACAACGAACAAATTGTACAGGCTGTCGGAGAAAGTCCAGGTATCAGAACACGTCGTGGATCCTTCATGTCGCACAACTTATCATTCAGCTCCTGTATCCGCATTATTGGCAACGTGTGCAGGGTCTTTCGCCGTCTGATCAATCACCACGGGTAAACGTTTGCCGATTGTTTATTGCACATATTGCCTATCCGTTTTTGTCTCCTCAGTACTGTTTAACGATGAGGAAACATTTGGAAGAGATTTTATAACAAATTTATACAACCAATATTTGTGGGCGGATCGGAAGCCCCATTTTTTAAAACATGCTAGATACCAGCTTCAGTTTACGACTAATGTGTGATCTGGGATTGTAGTTGATATAATGGAATATGATTGGCTGGTGTCCGTCATAAATACCGACGGACGTGGACGTACGAGAGTCAGAGCCTTAGTCTGAGAGCTAAGTCTATAACGACGCCTTTTGGACTACGCCATTGATCTACACTTCTTACCTGCGACTACGACGCGTACCAGTCGATTACTGCTACCGTATTCTACTTGGTTATAGTAGACAAAATCACTTAGCTACTTCGTTCAAATATATCCCTTTCTGGAACATATCAGTAGGTAACTACCTGGTATATTCATTTATACTCCTGTCAATTTTTACAGGAGCTGTCTCGAGATGTCTTTCGAGCACACTTTCAGACCTGCAACAGAATGTACTCTTGCTAATACGAAGACGCATTTTGTTGATGCACATTTAAGCCAGATTGTTCCCGATGGAATGGCTAACATCTACCATGACCAATGGATAGGTAAGGTAGAACCGATTCCATAGCCTGAACAATTTCCTAAACCTCAATCCTTTAGATTTATATCCGTGCGGCCACCTAAAAGAATTAGTTTGTTGCAGCGAACATTAATAATGCAGAAACGATTCATCAACGTATCATGGGGGTCTGCTAATCCATTCGACACCATGTGTGAATATATGAACGGGCCCGACATTCAAGGATCCGACGAGTGCGTGCATGTGTAGAAGCAAGGGTAAGCACCTCGGCGTGGTATAATGGTTAGCAAGCTTGTCTCGCTAGATCAATTACGACTGAGTAGTGAGTTCGATCCTCACTGGCTGCCCAATACTTTCGGCCTTGTGCCACATCTAAGCTGTGCTTAGAAAATCGAATGTGTAGGAGAAAGGGGAGGACATTGTGAACATTTTTATGAGTTACTGTGTTGAGGTACAATGATGGCCTTTTGGACATATGTATATTTTACATTGTTTTGGTGTAAGGAACCGCCCTCAATGTTCATGTAAATATTTTTCACACACTCTGTAAAAAATTTAAAACATATATAAATATCAGATTAGAAATAAATCGAAAAATATGATGTGTACAAGTTAAATCCGTATGAAGCTAACAAGTAAGAAACACGTTTTAATTTTCTCCTATTGAAATCCACTCATTAATTTGAATCTGACGGCGATGGAGAAATTTACAGTGTTCAACGTGGGTGATCTTGATTGTGGATATACTATCCGTGCCATTCTTCGTTCTGCAATAAATTTACACAAGTTTGTTAGGCAGGTTTCTATTTACGCTTCTTACCATAAATATCTCCTGTCAGGTCCGCATTCTTCAAGCACTTTTCCCCAGAAATTTCATCTTTTTCCTATGCTAAATATAAACGTGTTTTTGTTTCAATTTTGATTAAAACTTTCTCGCTTATCTCACGCGCTGTCCATTTGAAAGACCGGTTCCTGTAAGATCACCGAAGTTAAGCAACGTCGAATCTGGTCACTATCTAGATGGGTGACCGCTTGGGAATAGCAGGAGCTGTAAACGTTGATGTACGAGTGGTATAAGAGATAATGACCCGGAATTGTTAATCGGAGACCCGAGTTCCAATTTTCGTTGCGTAAATAAAGCTGGGAAAGTGATTAATCCGCCTCTTCTCCCCACCATCTATGGGTTAGTTTATAAGATTTGTATCACTCAAACATTATTATCTCCCTCCACCTCACCCTAAAAAATCTTACAATATAAAAAAAAATATTTCCTAGCTTTAAATACCCTGCGAGATGTTGATGTACCGTAGAAAACGAATAATCATTCTCCGGCCATGGTATTCACGGTATCTTTCTGTAAAACCAATTTTCTTTTGTTCTAAATCACCTCTTCATCTACGATGATAGCATACTAACATATAGAAAGATTGATATTACATCGTATTGCAAGGCTATTGTTATTGTAACGAACTGATGTAAGGAATATGCATACACCTGGCTTTCCCCTCATATGATTGGGTGGTGCCAGCCATAAATACAGACTGATGTGGAGGTACGAGGACGCCTATTGGCTACGCCTATAGACTTCGTCTATTGCCTATGCCTATTGACTATGCCTATTGCCTACGCCTATTGCCTACCACTACGACGAGGACCAGTCCATTACGATTACTTGCTAGATTGTCCTACTCAGTTACAGTAGTCCAAAACCACTTTGCTACTTCGAACAAATATATCCCTTTCCGGGACATATCACGAACTTTTCCTGTTCCTTAATATGTTTAGCTTTGGGAAGTCATCTTATTTCCCTATCTTCGGTTTTCGATACCCCGTTTTTTGCCGTCTGTTAAAACACATTAGGAAAACAAATTGAAGTGAAATAATTATGAGCGGTTTTCTAAATATATTGAAAAATAAACGTTAATCAATGCCTGTGTAAGTTATGGATGAACATACTAAAAAGTCAGGATCGATTACGTTTAAGTCCCTTCTTTGCATTCTGTCAAGAATCTCGAGATATACAACAGGAGCAGCAGACTCAACCAAGCTGCTGTATTCGACTGGTAGATTTATAAATGTACAAGATGGATTCTGACTAGAAAAATATTTTCAGCACCAAACACATTTTCTAGCAGCAGATCTAGAACTGATTCAATATGGTCACTCTATTTTATGTCAGTCAACAACGTGAGTCAAGAAAACTCAAAGTGTACGTTTCCTGGGGGTTAGCATCTGCCATGGTGAAGGAAGGCAGAAATGTTTCTATGTGATAATTAAAGAACGAAGACTGAAGAAGATTAAAGTGAAGAGAAAGCACTATTAACCTAACCAGGTTATTTTCCCTATAAAATAAATGTTGAAATTCTTTCTTCATAGATCAATACTTCAGCAAAAGAAGTGAAGAGATTGTGGAACAGGTAATTGACAAATAGTTCGAAGAATCCCTCGCGCATCGTCTCAAAATACCTTGGTAAGAATTCAGAAGAATATGAATTCCAAAGAACATGTCCCGATCTATATCGCACATATATACATACATACATAAATCCAATGCACATACAACGACAAGCATTCATTGGTTAATTCATCAACCATACGTTATTATAGACAATTTACAAATCGCAGCAATGCGACAATTTTGTAATCGCTCTATTTTCATGTAGTCAATTTTGTGCATATTTGGGAGAAACGGATCACAGAAGCTTTCTTAAGTCTCCCCAAAGCTCGCTCGCTGATTGGTCTATGCCAACCAATCAGATCGACTGCACGTGAAGAGTAACTTTTCCCGGGCAGCGATCTGGATCCTATAGTCACTTATATGAGCAAGAATTTTCCTTAGCTAATTAGTGAGAATTCAGCTGCCAAACGAATACACGACAAATGAAACCATGCACCGACGTTCTCACTCATACACACCACTCACATGCTGAACATTGCTTAGACATTCACATAATCTTTTCTTACACAGACACATCTCTTCTGATAAGTCATTATAAGAAGCTCTCATAAACATCCTTCCAGTGAACTGCTAAAATAACAGATAAAGAGAGACAACTCTTATTTATTTCAACATTTTCTTACTTAAATGCATGCTTTCTTTAACATCGTTGTTTGATCTTGTACATCTTGTTAAATACATATTTTATGTGTAATGATGTATTTTGCTCATCCTTTTCCACGTTAGTCTTGTTTCCTAATCTAAAGTTAAATTAATGTCGTGAAGTCCGCTGCAGGCAACACAAATGATCTCATTGCGTCAAGACCAACTCGAATAATAGAAAGATTAATTGATGTTATGAAAATTGTTGTCACATGATCTCGACTGAAAACTACAAGCTAGTGCCAGTATGAAAACACAATGCCATGATTTATTATTTTATTATCATGAAATCTTTTATTTTTCAAAATAATTGTTAAGAATACCGAAAAATATCATTGGAAAAACAGAAGCAAGAACAATAACGCAATTATTAATACTGTTAATAACAATAAAGAGAGGAAATATTAAAAAATAAAAGAAAAATATATAAAAAAAACTGATTTTGAGGAATTTCCGCCAAGCCTAATGGATTTTTCGTGAGGCACAACACGATTCCTTTAAATAAACAGAGAACGAAATATGAAGAAAGGAAAAAAAATTATCGTTATTGGGCGGAACAGAATTGTCCTTGTCAGATTCTTAATTAGCAAAATTCAATGTCTATTAATTTGATAAAATATTGATAATTAAAAATAAAATCGTATGCAATATTTCTGTGGCATCATCATAATCACGAAAATAATCTCGATTATCAGAATTCAAATCAATAACTAGTTTCGACGACCACCATGTTATACTTACTGTTTTATTATTCGCCATTTTCAATATGGTGGGATTATGGATCATTTCTGAAATGATCAGTATGATGATGAAAATGAATTGTAAGAATATAGAGATAAAGAAATGAACAGTAATCTTTAATATATATATAAAATATTATTTTATCGTTATAATGATAGTGCCGATGCTGATGAGTCCATGTTTTTCTTGTGAGAATCCATTTTACACATTGGCAAATATACCGTTTGCCCCTACATTGAATACTGATGCCACATCTGGTCTGGTGATCCTTCTATTCATCACGATGTTCTTGACAATAATCAAAGAAGGGTGTGCAATGTAGTAATAGATCATGACTTGGCGTCTTGACTTTAGCCACATTATCATTGACATAACGTGAATCTCCTCTGTCTTTTCTACAAATATTTTCATGACAACTTCTCTGACGAGATTTCTTTCTCTGGTGACCCGTCTACATTAATTTAAACGTGTTACTAGATTGTCATCTAGGTCCCACCTGTTTACTTTAGAAATAGCTAAATGCAATTGCGACATTCCTGACAACTACAACCTTTAAGATTTTAAATGCAATGTCAATTGTCATCTTCTTGAATCTCGTTCATCTTTTGTCTTTTCCTCAATCCTCCCTATACTCAGGTTTTTTCCTCTAACTTTCTATCCCTGTCCTAGTGGCATACCCGCGTTGCTTGGGGTGAAATGATTAAAAAAAATTAAAACAAACCCTTTTGATACACAGCTGAGTACCTGACCAATTTCCGTCATACGTCCCGATTCCTTGTTCGAATCTCTGTAAATGATCTTCCTCTCTATTCAGTGACGTTGACTGTACCTTTTCCAGCTGTCTCCCGCTTTTCTTTTGCCTGATACGATATTGTTTGTTTGGTTAATAGCATATAAACACCTTATGGGTCATTTAATGTCGAAATCTTATTTTTTTGTGAACTTCGGTATTTTTTTTTTAAATCTATTACGGTTAGTATTTTTTTCAATAATGAATTGTTGGTAATGTTTTTTTTACTATAAAAATGTATTCTGGCTAATTTTCCTAATATATTTTTACATTCTCTTGTTTTGATCCACACTTTGGGGGTTCACTGGTTGCACATAACAGGGACCTTAAAAGGAGCTACCGCCTTGGATCAGGGTAGATCTCGAGGCAGCTTCAAATAAGAAGTCGTTCCATGCTTCTGAAAATCTTCTGATCAGAGACCCTACTACCGGGTATAATTTTTCGTCATACTCAGAACGTGCCTTGTAGACTGGAAAGCTTGTTGATTCTTATGACGTGGCTATACCATTTCAACTTTATCTCCATGACGGTGGCTTGAGGTTTTCCGATGAACCTGCTTCTTCTATGATAGCTACTCTCCGTCATTGTTGTTGTAATCTACGCAAGAAACGCGTATGATGGTTCTGTAACTTTTTATGTTTGCAGTTTGGATTAATCGCTCTACGCTGTTGTCAATATCCAATAATTGCAGATAGAAAAAGCCACTACACGAAGTCGTCTGATCATTAATTTTCGGTAGATGTTCTTATCATTCCGATGGTCTAAAGATGACATTGTAGACAATTTTCTACAGCTTTCCATGGACATACATACTTTATACACTACATGAACAGCGAGCGACTCCGGCATCCAATCGATTTCAGTGGACTCATCTCTGGCCGAAGACTCCGCAGTTGCATTAAATTTCCGTATCACGATCATATAAGAGAGACTATGGAATAAAGCAGTATCAAGATGGAAAACTGCGATTTCAAACAACACTCGACATTATTCAGACAAGAAATATGAAATACTTAATACAAACGGCAAAACAGAAGCCTACCTGAAGCCACCTAGGACCGAAACTAGAGATCACACGTAACCTGTGTTGACGAATGTTAAAGGCAAGTAACATTATTGCCAATCAACAAACATAGGCATCTGTTTATCTCGCGTGATAACGATAACGCCTTGTTTGCATCAAATTCATTCCTGTGGAGTTGAGACTAAGTTACCTCTCAAGGACGCAAACATTGGTTATGGTAGAGGATAGGCCATGTCTTGCCCAGACCACATGACCATCTCCTGCCCAGATTACATTGCCTCCTCTCAGCCGTAGCAACAAGATGATGTATGGGGTATTACATTTGGGTTCGGCTTGGCTTCAGGAGTTGCCGTAAATTTGTCGGTGTTGACAGCAAATAGCCTTCGAGGTTTCATTTGG